ATTCCCCCACCCCCCTTTAGTATGGGTTCTTTTTCTTAGTCTTTTACAGTAGTGGTCCTATGCAGTATTTCTCTTTTTGTGACTGAGTAATTTCACTCAACATAATGTCCTCAAGGTTCATCCATGTTATGCGGTGGCTTGCCGCTTCCTTGTTATTCTTTAAGGTAGCATAATATTCCATTGTGTGTATATACCACAATTTGTTTATCCAGAAATTCATATATTCTTATTAAAATAACACACAAAATCATTATTTTCAGGGCATTTATTTTTCATAGCAGTTTCTTTTTATTCTAATTTTTTTAAATCTGCCCTTGGAAATTAAGGCAGTTGATGCTGAATTGTTCAGAAGACCTTTCACTCACAGAACCTCACTAACCTCCTCATCAGGAATGGCAATCTTCTCATCAAAGTAGGTGGTGAAGGGGTCCTGTGACTGCTCAGTAGACCGTGGAAGTGAGGAGTGACTGTAGGCAGGGTTGATGGCACCAAGACTGGCAGTGTCCCCATGTTCTCCAGAAGCATCATCTGAAAAAAATAATTTCGATACTAATAAGCACTAACTCATGCTTATTAGTATTAAAATTAAGTCTTCAAAATGCTAAATGCACAAGATAAGATGAACCTCACTATCTCAACTTTTTAATAGCTCATTTTTTCTTACTCCTATTTTTTAATAAAGTATTTTTGAACAGGTAGCACAGTCACATAGCTGACAACTCAAACAGTACAAGAAAGGTTAGAATGAAAACTCCCTTCCCCCAGTCACTCAGTTCTGGATCAGTTTTAGCACTAATCTCACCAGGTTTCATACTTCTACATTTCTATTTCTACCTAGTAATATTTACAATCACCTCACTTTCTTCTAAAAACAATGATACTTAAGACTCAAAATATAACATTTCTAAACCAGTTCCATTGGTAACCTAAAATTCTGTTAAAAGAAAGGAAAAAAAAAAATCTGGACAGTTTAGTGGAACAATTTCTTCTTCTCACCCCTACCAAATTTGGTAGAACTTACTCAAGGGATCTTCCTTGGACATTCTATCTCTGTTAAGTTTCTCAAAAATGTAGATGTTGCAAAAGCCTGCCACAGTTCAAGATAAAATCTGCAGTTACTGGAAACTCACCAATCAGGAACCCTTTGCGCCTCACTAAAGCCTGCAGGGAAAAACAGGTCACATGGTGCTGGCACCCGCGCGTGACAGGAGGCACCTCTCAGATTACTCAGTGTTTCCCTGAGTCCTGCAGATTTCTGTTACTCTTCAATGCAGGCAGGGGCTTAGAGAGAGCCAGATAAATGCAAAACTCAGTTTGCTGCTGCCACCAAATGACTATTCTGAACTGCACAGCTCTAATGTTGGTGTTTCCAAAGGCCCTCGTGACATCCAGCAGAGAAATATAAGATTTTTGTCTACAGGGAGCTGACCCATATCATCTGTTGTTGTTAAGTGCTGTCGAGTCGATTCCAACACATAGCAACCCAGTATACGGTTTCCAAGGAGCAGCTGGTGAGCTTGAACCACTGACTTTGCAGTTTAAACGACTTTGCAGTCTGATGCATTACCCACAGCGCCACACCAGGACTCCTCCTCATATCATTTGTAATGACCCTGAAGTCATATGAGAAATCATTACAAATGAATCAAATAGGAAAGCTCTAAGTTTAGAATTTGCAAGGATTCACCAAAACACTCAAGAAGCTCCAATCAAATAAATATAAAGCATAAGGCGAAATTCCCCAGGCTAGTTCAGTGCTACACACACATATGAAACATCAGTAAATGTGATGAGCCATCAAAGTCTGGGAATTAATATTTCCCTTGAAAGCATTACTTAATTAGTATTGGGAGTCCTGCTGTGGCTCTGTGAGTTATGCACTGGACTGCAAAGTTGGTTTGAAACACAAGGTCGGCGGTTCAAGCTCACCAGTCACTCCTTGGAAACTCTATACAGGGTCGCTATGGAAACCCAATACAGGGTTGCTATAAACATTAATTGTGCTTTTCATCTCAGAATTAGAAATAAAATATGAGGCAGGTTATAAATCCATTTTTATTTACAGCCAAATCACTGTACAGTGACTTCTGAATGGAGCAGAGGGGAGCCAGGGATAATTTTTGTTGGAATAGAAAATGAGAGGGAAAATACTGTAAATGCTTATTCCTGACTTAAGCCTAATTTCAAATAAAAATCAAACAACAAGAAAGTTGTAAATTTACCATCTGGTAGCTTCTGATCAGTACCCAAAACCATGGTGGATATCTGGGTGCCCTCGTTCTTAGAATATGATTCTGGAAAAAAGAAAAGGGAAGGAAAGAAATTAGCAGCAATAAACAACAAATCAAAACCAGCAGTTTGTTACTCGGAATAATGAACCTTTATTGTGTGAAAAGAATTATTCTTGTACTCAATTACATAACCCTGAAAATAACTGTCGTTGTCACAATATGATTAAGAGATATCTAACAAAGGCAGGTATGCATGGGCTAAGTGGGACAGAGGTAAATAATGATGTATGCACAACCTTGGAACACCAGGACTCTGGGATACGGGACTGAGGCATGGTTTGAATGGGTTAAAGAGGGGAAATAATGTTAAGATGCTTGGCTGTCTTTTGAATCTTGGTTTCCCTTACCTACTATTGTAAAACAGACACTTGAGGGGGAAAGAAAGGAATAGCCAGAAACATCAGCAAAGAAAGCTTGTAAATCCATCTTCAGTCTATAACTAACTGGAATACCTAAAATGGGGCTATAACTTATCCAGTGAAGGAGGCTTCCCATGGAGCCTTTGCATTGTCTATGACATAGGTAGAATCCAGATCCTCATCCAGAACCTTTTGAGGTGGAAAATTTCCACTGAAAGGATAAGCAGACCAACCTGGAGGAGCTAAAAGAACAGAAGATACTTCTTGAAAGAAAGACAAGCAGGAAAAAAAAAAATGGTCATGTCAGTCTGATTGACTATGATAAGAACAAGCAAGTCATTCTCCGGGGAGCCATCAAGACCAGTGGTCAGGTCCCCTCAGGGGAAACCCCCTTCCAAGACTAAGACTCAAGGGGAACACATGAGCAGGCATCTAGTCTTGCTGCTGACCACGTTGGTCACTAATAAGGTGAAGTGGGGGGAAAACAGTAATAAAGTTGTAATCTAAGTACGACCACATTCAATAGACTCCTGTTGACCTGGGTTGAGACATGGTTGGCCAGCAGTATGGTGAGACCTGAGGACTCCTGGGCCCAGGGATATGACCATAGATGACGAGAGCAGAGAGTGAAGCATCCAGCTGATATAAAGTGAAGGGAGATGCACAAGAACACCCATACCTGCAGATAGTACCCTTCTGATCTAGCTTCAATGGCTGGATGACCAGAATTCGACTAAAGAAAGAAAAAAGAGGAAAAAATGAGTAATCCGCTATAATTTGATGAACTTGACCTATGCTTGTGGTTATAGTAGCTCAAAAGAGGTAACAACCCACACTGGCAGATAATACCCACTTGACCTGGCTTCAATGACTGGATGATCAGAGCTTAATTAGAAGAAGAAAGAAGAGGAAAAAAAGAGTAAGCTGATACAATTTGATGGACTTGACCTACACCTATGGATGCAGTAGCTCAAAAGAGAGAACAAATCTTTACAGCGAGGATCATTCCCACCCGCTCCATACAGAGTAGACAGGGATGGGCAACTCAGACATCGGCTACCCAAAATAGAAGGGCTACAAAGGCGAGAAGTGACTGGCTTACATCTAAACAACAGACAAATCTACAGGGGGAACAATAATACTGGGGAGCTGAGCACCAAATGAGATCAAAAGGGCAGTATTTGCCAATGGACAAAATTCAGACCAGTTAGGAAAGGAGGAGGAACCGAAACAGGAAACAAAGGAAAGAATTGGGATAAGTAAGAGATGCTACATTGAGAGGGCTGCAATCAATGAGATGAAACAAAGTTGAATGAAAAGCTTATCTGCTCTGGAAACCTTTACCCAACTTACAACAAGGAAAAAAGATAAAGAAGTGACCCCTTAGTCACTCACGGTGACCTTATGGTAGAGTAGAACTATTCCATAGCATTTTCTTGGCTGAAATATTTACAGAATCAGCTCTCTAGGCCTTACTTCTATTGAGCTGCTGGGTGTTTCCAGCTATTGTTGCTGCTAAATGCCGTCAAGTTGGTTCCGATTCATAGCAACCCTGTAAAGTGTTTCCAAGGATTAAGAGGTGAGCTTGAACCATCAACCTTACAGTTCAAAGAGACTTTGCAGTCCAGAGCATTAACCTGCAGTGCTATTTGCACTACCCAGGAACCTCTTTAGAAAGCAAAGACATTCAAAAACTTTAAACCTGTATTCAGTATTACAATGGTCTCACTACAATTAGTTGTAAGGTCTAGAGAGGAATTTTTAAAACATTTTTCAATTCTTTCTCTTTCTTTTTTCCCTTCCCCAGCTTCAAATAGGAACAGAACTTTGAAAGAGATTGCCAGAAAGGAACTGTTTAAACAAATGCATGCAGCAATGTTTAAAGCTGACTGGCAAACCTACATTTTCCCTATCTTGATGCTTCCCTAGACCCTGTCCCCAGCTAGAAGACAAGTTGGTTACAAATGGAAACTGCTAGATACGAAAATAAAAGCTTTAACACATGGTATCTTAAGTGTTTGATAAAGAACAAGAGCTGTGATCAAAAGATTCCATTTGTCAACAAGAAAATTTCCTAATCTTTCTAAAATTCTAAAATCTCTAAAGAGTCTATTTTAAGGTTGAAGTGCTCAATGTTCTATTAAACCATTACTGTTAATCTAACATCAATGTTGTACAAGATTTCTTCATGAAGGTAAGACCCTACCCTTTTAATAAATGGGAGTCAATAAACACTCTTACTTAAGTAGCTCAAACAGAATGGATTGTTTTCTGAATCCTAAGTATTTTGTTGGAGCTCCTGGGTGGTGCAAACGGAAAATCAACCACCTAACACCTACCTTACCCTACACCCTTATCCACTGCCATCAAGTCCATTCCAGCTCATAGCAACCCTCTATAGGGTTTCTGAGGCTGTAAATCTTTCGGTGAGTAGAAAGCCTTTTTCTCCTGCAGAACAGCTGGTGGATTCAAACTACTGACTTTTCAGTTAGTGCAGCACAGAACCCACTACACCTAGAGAGCAGAATCCTACTCTGAAACAAATGGAGTCACCATGATTCGGAGTCAACTTCACAACAAACTAGAATGCATTTTAATAAGGAAGATTGCTAGCCACTCTTTTTCTTAATGAGAAATGACTACTTCCTTTGGTTTTCCATTTTGGGTTAGTGAAGAAGCACCATTGTCTGAGTCTCTGTATTGAGGACATCCATCTAATTAGTTCTAAAACTCAATCTGTCCTCCTGCGGGTAAAGGAAAAGGAACAACTTAGAAAGCCCTGTGAACTTTCAAGTTATTCTCAAGGATATGAAATTTATAGTTATATTTTTTAATCTGGATAAGCTTGTCCTAGTTTTTTTTAGTAAACAGATTTTTATATAAATTAGTTTTTTTTTTTTTTTTAAAAGGGCTGGTTAAAGACTCAAATTACATCAACTTCATGATTGAAGAAACAAAGTAAACAATCTCTCTACTGTTAGTTTTAAGAAAAAGGCCTTAAGTGGGTAATATTAGAATGTCTTCAGCCAAAAGCCACACAAAGACGCCCACTTCATAAAGTGCAAACAATACTATTAATAGTACTACTAACAGCACTACTACTGTACACCCTCAGGGCCTCGGTCTCTCTAGGTCTGTCTCTCTCTCTGGCACAATGGTCATTGAGATACCAGCTGAGACTGATTTTATTGACCTTTTATGCAGTGGTAATAATCTCAAAATTAGATACTTTTTTTGTTTTGCTTGTGGTTGTTATTGGTAAGTGCCATCGAGTCGATTCCGACCCATAGCAACCCTGTATAGGGTTTCCAAGGAGCAGCTAGTAAGCTTGAACCACCGATCTTGCAGTTTAAACAACTTTGCAGTCTGACGCATTAACCCACAGCGCCACACCACCAAAAACTACCACTTCAACTCTAGAAAGTTTGCTGTTTCTCAGCTGAGTTAGACTTTTGAGGTTAAAAAAAGACAAAAAGACAACACTGTAGACCACCATCTCAAAACAAAGAAAAGAGAAAACACTAAGAAGCAGGAAAAGGAGAGGAAACCTCCACCTAATTCACAATAAAGTAAAAAAAATAAAAATAAAAAGAGAAAGACTATGATGAAAAGAGTACAGTTGATAATGAAGCCAGCTGCCTGGGTGTCAAAGATGATAACAGTTGGGAGAAATGTGGCCCGCCTGTCAAGAAGTAACTGATCTTTTAGACAAAAACATCACTCATCTACCAAAGTTCTAAGAATTAGAAGGATCAGTTATCAACTCTTCACTTTCTCTGCTCTCTACTCTGTGCTCAGCTTCCAAACCTCCCTGGCTGCTTACAGTTCAAGGTCACTAAAGTCATGGTGTGGCATTGTAGGATAAGCACTGGACTTCCAACCATAAGATCTGCAGTTCAAATCACGTACAGGGTTTCTCAGGTGTGCCAGGTGAGCTTGAACTGCCGACCTTGCAGTCCAATACATTAACCCACAGTGCCACACCAGGACTTCTCTAGGGACTATAGCTTTGTTTCTCCCAACTCTCACTATGTAAGCTTCCTGCAACTTACTGCTAATCAGTAGTTTACAGCAGTAAACTACTTTCAGGAGCTCCACCTAGCAGTCTGCTCTGACACATTGAACCTGACTCACTAGCCCATGCCCTCTGAATAATTTTAAAGGCCCCTCTCCAACAGAATAAGAAATTCCCATTAAATCAATCTGACCCGTCTTCTTAAGGAGCCCTGGTAGCGCAAGAGTTAAAGTACTTAGCTACTAACCAATAAGAACTCCTGGTGTGGCACTGAAGGATCAGCACTGGACTGTGAACAAGGTCAAAAGTTCAAACCCACCAGCTGCTCCTTGGAAACAAAGTCACTATGAGCTGGAATAGACTAGATGGCACTTAATAGCAAGTAACCAAAAGTTGGCAATTAGAACCCACCCAGTGGCTCCACAGGAGAAAGACCTGGTGATCTGTTCCCATGAATATTGTTCAATGCTGTCGGGTTGGTTCTGACCATAACGACCCTGGATAGGGTTTCCAAGGAGTGGCTGGTGAGCTTGAACCGCCAACCTTGCGGTTCAAATCAACTTTGCAATCCAGCGCATTAACCCACAGCGC